GACGCAGACCATTGGCCACCAATTCTTTCTAAACAAAGTGACCGATCAGTTGAGATACGAGATCTCCCGATGCGGTTATACCGAAATCCTAACATTCTCTTTAGTAACATAACTCCATTCACTCGTTCATTGCAATGCCATTAATATTGTTATGGTTTTAGTGCTCTCGCGACGATATCGGAGAGAAAATGCGAAGAAAGGACTCGCTTTCAAAGGCAGTCCATGTGGCGAACCCAAAGACATTGGACTTCCAAGTCGGTCGCACTTCCCTATTGCCCGGACTCCTCAAAACCATTTACTCCAACAAACAAATACCTCTTCCGCTCAAACTTTTTGAGATCTCAGATGTTATTCTCAAAGACAGTAATGAAGGTATGAGTGATTGTCGGTATTAACGGTATTCACTAAATTCAATAATACTATCACTTATTTAGAAGTGGGCGCCAGGAATGAACGCTATTTGTCTGCTATTTATTACAACAAAACACCGGGTTTTGAGATCATTCATGGATTATTGGATCGTATTCTCCATGTGTTGGAAATTCCCTTTTCTGCCAATAAGAAAGGCGTCGGATATTTCATTAGAGCGGCTAATGGTTTGACAATCAGTTTTCATTTCTTTTTAAGACTTATAATACGGTATGTATTCTTCAAACAGATCCGCGCTTTTTGTCGGGCCGTTGCGCTGAAGTTGTGGTCAACGATAAAGTGGTGGGAATTATGGGTGTCCTTCACCCGCAAGTGATCACTAATTTTGATTTAGCGCAGCCCTGCTCTGCACTCGAGTTATCACTTCAGGCTCTTATGACCCACGATTTGAATCAATAATTTTATTTATAAACATTGAATAAAACTCATGAATTTGAAAAAATAAATAGTTTTGTCATTTAATGATTATTTATCATACCGTAATATTTTATTTATACCTGACATCAAATGATAATAAATTAACTATTCGTGTACCGGTAAGTTTTCATGAATACTTCCTATATGTTTCCTTTGAATTTTTTATTTTTTGCAATTTTTTACGATCAAATTATTTTCATTGTAGCTTAACATACAAATACAGTACTATGAAAGTAATTTAAAAATTACCGGTCACTAAATGTTAAATATTACGATAAAGTTGAAAGTTATACTCTATAATACAGAGTCTATATGCTATTAAGTTATAATACAGTATAATATTTACTGCCTACCGGTAATAGAGTATGCAATTCATAAGTCCTTAATCTTTAATATTCTTATCATACCTGTACTACAATATAGCATTACTTGCAGTTATTTACGGTACAGTTTATAGTGTAGAATATATACTGTACATTTTAATTGCAGCAAGGGCTACCGCATTACTATGATGGTGATGAGAGTACGGTGTATAGTACTGTAATGAACTCTTAATGCAATTAAATAAATAATTTGTAAGAATTTTAAGATTCTAATACTATTTATATTCATACATTCCTGAATTATAAAATAACTTGAAAACATTATCAAAGTATTTAATATTACTGTAATACGAGCATATGTTTTATTTTTCTATCAATCTAATGAATAAATTGTATTACTTTTATTTTAACATTACAATGTTAGTGATCAAAATATCAGTACAGCATTTGTATTAATATGAATATTATTTGGTTTATAATAAAAATATTATTTAAACAAAACAATAAAAATATTTAATATTTAATAACTAAACGTTTAATACGACAGTCTTTTTCAATGCACCGGCAGTTATATAATTTCTATCATATTTATTGATCCGATTCATAGCCCAGTCATGTCTTCCAGTACTCCAAACGTCATCCAAAGCCATTCATTTGTTGTATAGACTCTCTCTATGGAGTACAGTATAAGAGCCATCAATATTTACGGCTTGTCTGCGAAGTCATAGTAATATGAATGCTATAATGAATGCTATATTCTATTGATTTGCATTCATTTAACAATATTTTTGTTTAATATATATTTAAAATATTGACATATTTTATAGAAATTTTGTGATTTAATTCTTTTTGGAATAACTAATGTAATAAAATATTTTTTTGAATCGTTTTACTCAATATTTAATTAGACTTTCATCACAATAGATCTGAATAGAGAAGCCATTAATCAAAGAATGTGAGCAAATATTTGTATTTTACCTTATTATCATATATTATTTTAATTACATTATTTTTATTTTTCCACTATTCTTACTTGTATTATTTAATAATTAACTGTTATCATTAGCTATGATAGGATTTACAAGAATTATAGCTATGCAGTGAAGACATTTTGCCCCTCAAACATACAGTTGCCGATTCTTACAGTATTAATAATGCATCTCAAATATCAAATTGATATAAGCAATGTGAAGTTAAATATTTACTAAATTGATTATTTAATGTCTATTTTCAGTATTTTTGTCAAGTTTATTCATTAAAACCTGCAAAGATGTCATCTGTAAAAGTGGCGGTTCGTGTCCGACCCTTCAATAATAGGGAATATAGTTATAACTCAAAGAACATAATCTCAATGAGCGGCCAAACGACAAGTAATTAAAAATTAATGTCTATTATTATATAATTCTGTTTATTTAATGTATTTATGTTTTCACTATTATAATGAATAGCAATTTGTAACCCAAAAATACCGGATTCTTATAAAACATTTACATTTGACTACTCGTATTGGTCTCATGACTCGGCTGATCCTAATTTTGCGGATCAGGAGGTAGTCTATCGAGATATCGGTGAAGAGATGTTAGCGCATGCTTTCGAGGGTTATAACGTGTGTATCTTCGCGTACGGCCAGACCGGTTCCGGAAAGAGCTATACAATGATGGGTAAACAGGACGATGAGGGCATCATTCCTCACATTTGCAAAGACTTATTCAACAGAATCCAATTTGAAGACAATAATGAAGTCATGTATTCCGTTGAGGTCTCTTATATGGAGATCTATTGCGAAAGAGTTAGAGATCTGTTGAATCCCAAAAATAAGGGTTCATTGCGTGTTCGCGAGCACCCAGTGCTCGGACCATATGTTGAAGATTTGTCCAAATTAGCCGTCACTTCTTATGAGGATATTCGAGACATAATGGATGAGGGAAATAAAGCCAGGTATTCAATGGTCAACTAAATGCTAACATATTATTTAGTTTGATTTGTCTTAAAGAACTGTTGCCTCGACTAATATGAACGAAACCAGCAGTCGATCGCATGCCGTCTTCACCATAATATTCACTCAATTAAGAGAAGACAGAATGTCTGGTTACATATTATTTAGTTTGATTTGTCTTAAAGAACTGTTGCCTCGACTAATATGAACGAAACCAGCAGTCGATCGCATGCCGTCTTCACCATAATATTCACTCAATTAAGAGAAGACAGAATGTCTGGTCTGACGAGTGAGAAAGTGAGCAAAATATCTTTGGTTGACTTGGCAGGTAATTCACATGTCACCAATGTCTCTGATGGCTCTGGTATTAGATATTATATTTGATTTACCGCTATATTAGGCTCAGAACGTGCGGACGCGACAGGAGCTCAGGGAACTCGGCTTAAAGAAGGTTAACACCATTATAGCTCCCCTATCATATTCAATGCTAACAAATAATATTACTATGTACTATAGGTGCCAATATTAACAAGTCATTGACAACACTAGGAAAAGTAATCTCAGCACTCGCAGAATTGGTATAAAATTTGATCTATTTTGCCACACATATAGTAAATCTGATGACAATTATTTTCTTATTTTCCACTCATATCTTTACAAATATTAACAGTCAGTAAGTATTTTTGGTTAATTATGTGTTTATATTATTTTTTAATAATTAATTTTTCGAAAAGGCAATGAAAAAGAAAAAGAAAAATGATTTCATCCCATATAGAGATTCATCGCTGACATGGCTTTTACGAGAAAATTTAGGTAATTTTGTTGACAAAATAACAAACAAATAATTAAAAGATTTTATGACTTTTAAAGGCGGAAACTCAAAGACAGCAATGATTGCAGCCCTAAGTCCGGCAGATATAAACTTTGAGGAAACTCTAAGTACTCTGCGATACGCCGACAGAGCGAAACAAATTGTATGCAAAGCTGTGATTTTAAAGGCGGAAACTCAAAGACAGCAATGATTGCAGCCCTAAGTCCGGCAGATATAAACTTTGAGGAAACTCTAAGTACTCTGCGATACGCCGATAGAGCGAAACAGATTGTATGCAAAGCTGTGATCAATGAGGACGCGAACGCTAAGATCATTAGAGAACTGAAGGATGAGATAACACGACTCAGAGCTCTGTTGAGGAGTGAAGGCCTCGACTTGGAGGAGGACGGCTGTCCCATCTCTGTTCAGGCAGACGGCCAACGAAGAAGTGGTTCCGTTTCGATAGTGAGTGAGAACGCTATGGAACAGTTGCAGGAAAGCGAGAAATTGATGCTCGAGTTGAACGAAACGTGGGAACAGAAGCTGAAGAAGACTGAATCCATTCGTATACAACGAGAGACAGCGTTGGCAGAGATGGGGGTCGCCACCAGAGAAGACGGCGATGCGGTCGGAGTGTTCTCTCCCAGCGAAACGCCTCATTTGGTTAATCTCAATGAGGACCCACTCATGTCCGAGTGCTTGATCTACTACATCAAAGATGGCTTCACACGCGTGGGTCAGTCAAACGCGTCGGTGCCTCAAGACATTAGACTCAATGGCACGCATATAATCAGTGAGCACTGCATCTTCGAGAACAGGAACGGAAGGGTGACTTTGATTCCTTGCAAAGACGCCCTCTGTTTCGTTAATGGAAAACAAGTGGACCGACCGCTAGAAATAAGCACCGGATCTCGAGTTATACTCGGCAAGTATCACGTGTTTCGGTTTCAACACCCGATTAGGGCGCGAGAAAACAGAGACCGACGGTCGCCGTGTGTGGAGCAGCCGAGTGGACCCCTTCAGGCCGTCGACTGGACTTACGCTCAGTTAGAGTTACTTGAGAAGCAGGGCATTGACTTGAAGTCAGAAATGGAGCAAAAGCTGATTGTTTTGGAGGAACAGTATAAGAAGGAGAAGGAAGAGGCGGATCAGCTCTTTGAAGAGCAGCGTAAGAATTACGAGCAGACAATCGAAAGACTTCAACAACAGGTGAACCAACAGTCGATGACTATGTCTTCGTTATATGCGTCCACAATATCCACACTCAATGAGTGCAAAGTAAACGATGACGAAGTTTTCCCAGAGGATTACGTTTGGACTGAACGTGAGATTCAAATCGCGAAGAGAGCGGCAAAGAAGTGGAAATACCATCAGTTCACTAGTCTTAGGGATGATTTGTGGGGAAACGCAATCTTCTTGAAAGAGGCGAACGCTATCTCTGTTGAGCTTAAAAAGAGAGTTCAGTTTCAGTTTGTTTTACTCACGGATACGATGTTCTCACCACTTCCTCCTGAGATGATCACTACTTATGATGAGCTCCATTACGACGACAAAGTGGAAGAGAGACCCTTTCCGAGGACTATAGTAGCCGTGGAGGTGACAGACCTGAAGAACGGGGCCACACATTACTGGTCTCTCAACAAATTGAGGTGAATATCGATGATTTCAGATTCTGTTGTTTATTTTGATTTAATTGTAGACAAAGAAGATTTTATTTTCGTTTCTGTAACCATAAGTTTTGACAATCAATTTAAGACTAAATCTCAGAACTCGAGTCAATGCACTTAACTAAGCATAAGCTCCAGTTTTGCCATTTATTCAATCTTTGAGTTGACACTAAAGCATGAATCGCATGAATTCAAAGATTAAATATTGTATTCTTTGTCTGCAATTCATTGTCTCAAATCGAGTAATGAAATGGAAATTTTGGGATTTCTATGTCATGTATGTGTGGACAGACACCGTCTGGAGCTTATGCGACAAATTTATTACAACTATTTTGTTGAGCCGACTAATAACGACTATTTATTGCAATGCCTGACAATTGCAGCACAAAAGCTAAGAAGTCCTGTATTTCTCGAAGACAGGTCTCTATAGGACTCAAATCATTACATTTTTCTTTCAAACAAATATTCATAACTTAAATACTTTTTTATTTATAGGAAAAGATTAGAATCGATGCGAGAAATGTATAAAAACGAAGAATCGTCTCCACTCTCGCCAACTGAATGCGGTCTCATTGAGTCCACCTCTGGTGGCGATCCTTTCTATGATAGGTTTCCCTGGTTTAGGCTCATCGGCAGAACTTATGTCTATTTATCCAATCTTTTATATCCGGTTAGTCTCATACAAAAGGTTCCTATTGTTAATGAGAAGGGAGATGTCAAGGGATACTTAAGGGTCGCTATTCAGTCAGTTGGAGGTAAAGACTTGATTCCTTGCTCTTGTAAATGAGTTAAATTAATTGTAAAAATGCTTTATTTAGACGACGAAGAGATGAATATATCAGAGAGTTCTTGTGCTATAAGACAATCGGCGCGAATTAACTTCGATGACAGCGACGAAGAGTTAATCAGAATCCAGAAGAAGCATAAATTACAAAAAGAGGCCAATTCTCTATTTAACTTAAGTAAAAGTGAAACAATTGATGGCTTAACCACTGATGACCAGCAAAATAATAATTACGAACGAAATGTCGATTACGACCACAAGACTGGTCAACACTTACAGGAAGATAAAGAATTCACATTTCGAGTGACTATTCTTCATATAAGCGATATATCTAAAGATTACGGCGATATCTTCTGTCAATTCAATTTCCTGCACCGACACGACGAGGCCTTTTCCACTGAGCCCATCAAAAATACAGGCAAAGGTCCGGCGCCCGGATTTTTTCGCGTCCAGAATATCACTGTAACCGTGACTAAGGCTTTCATTGAATATTTACGATTACATCCAATCGTATTCGAGATCTTCGGTCACTATCAACAGCACCCCCTCCACAAAGAGGCCAAAGATGACAGAGATTTCATATCCGGGCAAAACTCGTAAGAAATATTCAATTAAACAAGTCTTTGAATTAATCGAGTGTTTTGTGTGACTTTAGATTAGTTCGTCCGCCACCGAGACATATGTTTCCGCAATCGGTTCCCATTTCATTGCCAATCAAATCGCAGAAATTTACATGTCTGTCCCCATCACTGAGCACTGCACTCGTCTACTCAAAGTATGATTTGTTAGTTTGGATGGAAATCTGCGAATTGGCGCCGAATGGTGAATATAATCCGGTTGTGGTCGACCATAACGATGATACCGCATGTCGGGGCACTTTCCTCTTACATCAGGGGATTCAGCGTAGGATTAGGATAACTATTATCTACGAACCGGATGCAGAAGTTGTATTTAAGGAGATTCGTGAAGTAGTGATCGGTAGGATCAGGACTCAGGCTGACTGTCCCGATACGGATGACGAAACTGATTCATCAATTATATCTTTGGGTCTCTTTGCCGGAGAATATTTGGAGAAAATGAATAATAGAAATGTTTATCGATATGAGGCGGCCTGGGATTCATCGCTCCATAATTCGCTGCTACTTAATAGAGTCACACCATATGGCGAACGCATTTATTTAACTATTTCTTCATATTTAGAAGTATTTGCAAAGTTTCACAATAACTTCACTTTGTTTTATGTTTTATGGTATAACTTATGTTTATGTATTTATAGCTCGAAAACTGTACCCAACCGTCAATTATTACAAAAGACTTTTGTCTTATACTCTATGGTCGAGACGCGCGAACATTCCCGCGATTGACACCCAATACCAAAGTGTTGAAGAATATTCTGAGCGGCGCCTATAGGGACGCCAATTCCAATCATATCAGTTCTGTCTATGAGCTCATCCTAAAGAGAGCCGTCGATTCTGGAAGTCCTGGAGTGCAACGAAGACAACGAAGAGTTTTGGACACATCGACGGCATATGTGAGAGGGGAAGAGAATTTGAAGGGATGGCAACCTCGAGGGGATTCATTGATATTCGATCACCAGTGGGAACTCGAAAAGATTAAACGCATCGAAGAAGTGGAGAGAATTAGACACAAGATATTAGTTAAGGATCGCTTGAATAATGCCGATGAATGTACTTATGATGACATGAACTTTACTTCTGCAATGAAGACCAGTAGTAGTCGATTGAGTCTTATATTGGCCTCACCTACCAATCCGACGGCCACTCAGATTGGAGCCACAGATAGCATGTATGAGCCCTGGGATATGACTGACAGGGAGAGGGATTTATGCCTTAAATGTGTTCATTTAATCCAAACTCATATCCCTTCTAAACCTCCTCCGCAATCAACCAAAAAGAATTCATTGCAAACGCCAACCAATGAGGAGATCACCATTTCTTCGATGTCTTCGAGTCCAGATGTCTTGTCGCCCGACAAGTCCATCAGTGCCACCAATTGGCTCAAGAAGACAGCGATTGATATATCGGCGCAAACATTGAACAATGTGTCACAAAACGAGCAATTGTTGGGAACAGATATGAAGCCATCATTTGTTGCAGAAATTGAAGAAATTAGAGTCAGTCCTATCATCTCGAAGAAGGGATTCTTAAATTGTTTAGAAGACAGGACCGGCTGTTGGGTCAAGAGATGGGTTGTCGTGAAGAGACCCTACCTTTTCATATATGACGACCAAAAGGACACGATTGAGAAGAATGTCATTAATTTGTCGAACGCTTTGATAGAGTGTTCCGAAGACCAGAAACAGATGCTTAAAGTGGTGAACGTCTTCTCTATTGTCACCAATTATAGCGGATTTTTGATGCAAACCTCATCTGATAAAGAGGTCCACGAATGGCTGTATGCCATCAATCCATTACTCGCCGGTCAGATCAAGTCTAAGACTTCTCGATTCAATCGCATCAACAAAGACACGAATTGTGATGAGAAACAGACCGAAAGTAATGATACGAATCAGTGTTACATTTGAGTTCATTCTCCAGTTATTCATATTTTTTACTTTTGGTTCAGTTCTCGAGATTCTTATGCTTTCTTTCAATTCATATATTTTGAAAAATTATAATTTTTATATTAATATAACTTTTAATCGTCTCTCTCTTGTTTGAGATATTTCTATTGAATATAATATGAAAAACTAATTCTTAAAATAAATTCAATTTAAGTTTCTTCCAAATACTCATTACTTGATATTTCTTTATTAATAATTACAAAGTTTTCGAGAACAAATATGATCTATATCATTTATTATGCAGATATGACTTACTTAAAATGTGATACAGGTATACTGTAGTTTAAATCTTGTGTTCAATTAAAAGAAATATATGTCAATACATGCGACCAATAATCCGGATATTAATACAGGTGTGATATATACAATGTATATGATAATATGGTAAATACTGTATAATATAAGTGTAATATTGTAGTGAATTAAGTGAACAAACCCTCAATGAATCAATGAATCAATGAATCAATGAATCAATGAATCAATGAATCAATGAATCAATGAATCAATGAATCAATGAATCAATGAATCAATGATTGGATGCCTGTATTGAATGCATAGGCAGTGACTGGCAGTGAGTGAGTGAATGAGTGATGCATTCATATGAGCGACAGTTCATAGACTTGTTGTTTACAACTTTGTCTCACATGACGTCAATTGTTATGATAAGTGACTCAATGATGATATATGATATGAATGGCACTGACGAGGAGACAACACAATGACAATTGGCATCAATTGCTGCGAGTGTCTCATGGGATAGACTGATCCGAGTCCATACGCACAGCCAGTATGCCTCCCATACCAGTGCCGACGGCCGATGAGTTGTGGGGCAGACATCTGATGCCTAACTCACTGGCGATCGACGTCTTAATGCCCAACGGATTGCTCATTGAAGTGATGGCTAACAGAGAGTCCACTTTGGAGACCATTAAGAGCGACCTCTGGGTTGAGGCCAAGAAGAATGTCTTCTACCGAGTGCTCAATGACTGCAACTCTTATATCTTCGTATCCGTCACTCAAGACTCCAAAGTCGAGGAGTTCTACGACGAGTCCCGAAGACTCTGCGACTTAAGGCTATTCGAGCCGATCCTCAAACTCATTGAACCCGAGGGTAACAAAGAGGAGAAGATATTGTCGTCGGAAATAAGTCTAGCCATCGGTAAACCCATTCATGAATTGGATTCAATCAAAGAACCAGAAGTGGTGGAGTTTCGCAGAAATATTCAAACCGTTTGCCGACAAATTGTGGACAAAAGGGAAGCACTGCCTCTTCAGGAGAAAGTCTTTTACGCTTTTCCTCCAGAATTAGACGAAACCATTGCTGTAGACATTCAGACGAAGGAATTACTCGAAATAAACGTATGGATCACTCTTGAGGATCAAACCGTTGAATCCCATGTCTTAACAGTGAATCCAAACTACTTATGTCTTCACCTCATCTCTGATGTCCTCTCTTTAGTCCACAAGAAGTCAAACATTGATCACTCGGTTCAGCAAAACACCGATAAATATGTGCTCAAAGTGTGTGGTTTTGAGCAATACTTGTTAGGAAACAACCATTTATACAGATATAGCGTATGTATCATATATTTACCATTATTTGTATCATTGATTGATTTGTATATTTGGTGGTGCAGTACATCCGGTCGTGTATATCACAGGCAAAAGTGCCTCAATTGCTTTTAGTGCAAAAGCATAAACTCAATGAAAAAGTGCCCAAAAGTGCATTTCTCATGACTTCGTTCATGAGACGAATTGGATCTCTAAGTATTGGTTCTCAAAGTTCTGACATTTTAAATGGTCTTCAGAACAACCAATTGATGTCTTTGTGGAAAATCGAGAGCTTCTTCCGAATTCGTGTGGTTTTGGCAACATATGTCAATGTGCGAGACGTGGACCGCATATACGTCAAGGCAGGCATATATCACGGGGCAGAGGCCCTGTGCGAGGAGAAGGTCACTCAGCACGTCGTCCCCCAAAACCCCCGTTGGAATGAAATGCTTGAATTTGATCTCTTTATTCCGGATATCCCTCGAAATGCGAGGCTTTGCTTATCTATCTGTGCGGCAACTTTCAGAAAGCGCAGGGATGAGCACTACGCCATCGCCTTCGGGAATATGCAATTGTTTGACTTCAAGAGTCGACTCCTGAGCGACAAAATTAACATCAATTTGTGGCCAATGCCTAAGGGATACGAAGATTTGCTCAACCCTTTAGGGATGATTGGCTCCAATCCTAACAACGATTCCTCGTGTCTGCAGATAGAGTTCGATAGGTTTGCACTTCCAGTCGTCTACCCGCCCGACCCACAGATTGAAGAATACGCTATTTTTATCAACAAATGGCGACAAAAGAAGGATCAGGCGAGTGGTTCAGCCGATTCTCAAAGCAGTTCTCGCTATGATTGTGATGATGCGGTTCCCGTGCAAGAGATGCCACAATTGCATGAAATCCTTCGACGCGACCCTTTGTCCGAACTGTCCGAACAGGAAAAGGACTTATTGTGGAGATTCCGGAACTCTTTGTCCACAATCCCTGACTCATTGCCTAAACTGTTGGATGCGATTAAGTGGAACAGTAGGGATGAGGTCTCGCAGCTATATCTTCTCCTGAAGAAGTGGCCCACCATTAAAGTGGAGACCGCTTTGGAGCTATTGGACTGTAAATATGCAGATTTAAAGGTCAGGTCATATGCTATCAAGTGGTTGAACTCAGGCCTCACAGATGATCATTTGATGCAATACTTGCTGCAATTGGTTCAGGTGCTCAAGAAAGAGCCCTATTATGATAACGAACTCTCGAACTTCTTGTTAAGTCGTTCTCTAATGAACCAAAGAATCGGTCATTTCTTCTTCTGGCACTTGAAGTCTGAAATGTATGAACCCTTGCATTCATTACGTTGTGGTATATTACTTGAGGCCTATTGTCGTGGTTTGCCATTCAATTGTCTGCATTCGGTGGTCAAACAGGTGGCGGCTCTCGAAAAGCTCGAGAAATTGACGGATGTGTTGAAAGAGCGCAAAGACGATACACAGAAAGATAGGATCCGTTTCCTTTCGAATTACATCAAACAGGCCGACTATTTGGAAGCACTCCAACAACTGGCCAACCCATTGAACAGTAGCCTTATTTTGGGTGATATACTGGTGGACGAGTGCAGAATCATGGACTCCGCCAAACGCCCCCTTTGGCTCGTGTGGTCCAATCCGGACCCAATGGCTCACATCTCTTGCCCAACGAATGCCATTATCTTCAAGAATGGCGATGACTTACGACAAGATATGTTGACTTTGCAAGTGATCCGTATTATAGACTTGATATGGCGTCGAGAGAATCTGGACCTTAAGATGCTTCCCTACACATGTCTGGCCACTGGTAAACAGGTCGGGATGATTGAAGTGGTGAGGAATGCCAAAACAGTGATGAATATTCAGCGCAGCGGTGGTCGTATGGCTGCCTTTCAGGTGGATTCGAGTCAACTCCACAAATGGATTAAAGAGCACAACAAAGACAAGTACAACAACGCTGTGGACAACTTCACGAAGTCGTGCGCCGGCTATTGTGTGGCCACTTTCATACTGGGCATCGGCGACAGGAATCCCGACAACATTATGATCACCGAAGACGGACAGATCTTCCACATAGACTTCGGCCACTTCTTGGGTCACTTCAAGAAGAAGTTCGGAATCAATAGGGAAAGGGTTCCCTTTGTTCTCACCTATGATTTCCTTCAAGTAATCTCTAAGGGATCCGAAAATCCTCTTAAGAGTAAAGAGTTCGAGGCGTAAGTCGTTTATAAACCATACCAGTTATAAACAGTTTCTAAATTATGTGCTTGTTTATTGTTTAGTTTCCAGCAGTTGTGCGGACGGGCATATCTGGCACTCCACCAAAACGCCAACCTATTGATAGCATTGTTCACAATGATGTTGTCGACCGGTATTCCAGAGTTACAGTCTATGGAAGACATCAGTTATTTGCGACAGACTTTGCAGGTCGAGAAGACCAGCGATGAGGCGCTCAAGTATTTCGAGACACAGTTGGATGAGGCACATGGAGGCGCCTGGTCTACTAAACTCGACTGGTTCTTCCATTCGGTCAAACATAGCTCAAAGACTTAAGCATCAGATGGTTTA